GAGAAGGACAACACCTCCCCACGTGCACAGACAGGTGTGGACTAAGGTGGGGGCTGGGAGGAGACCCTGCCCCAGCACGACACCAAGGGCTCAGCCTCGTGCTGATGGGGAAAGTCCCTGTTTGTATTTCTGGGACAGAGTCACAGCAAAGTAGAGGTGGAAGGGGCTTGAGAGGTCATGTAGTCCCATGCCCTGCTCCAGTGCGGATCCACCCCGTCTACTCCAGCTCAAATGCACGTGTCTAGTCTGCACTTAAAGACTTGCAGTGAGTGCACCTTCCCTCTCGCTGGGACCTGTTGCTCCTAAGTTCCCCCCAACATCTAACCTGTCTTGTCCAGAGTCACAGCAAAGTAGAGGTGGAAGGGGCTTGAGAGGTCATGTAGTCCCATGCCCTGCTCCAGTGCGGATCCACCCCGTCTACTCCAGCTCAAATGCACGTGTCTAGTCTGCACTTAAAGACTTGCAGTGAGTGCACCTTCCCTCTCGCTGGGACCTGTTGCTCCTAAGTTCCCCCCAACATCTAACCTGTCTTGTCCTGTCCCCACTCAACCTAGGGAGCCAGGGATTTCTAACCTCTTTGGAAATCAACTTTTTGTATTTGAAGCCTATTGTCAAAGCCGCCGTGGTCCCTGTTCCAGACTAAATAATCCCAGTACTTCTCACCTGTCCTCCTGTGTCTTCATTTCTAGGCCTCTCATCATTTCTTTTGCTCTCTCCTTTAGTCTCTCCACATCTCTCTTAGGGTGTGGTACCTGAAACTGGACGCAGGTGAGGCCTCACCTGTACTGAATGGAGGGAATGCCCTGCATCCCACAATGTACATACGACACTCATGATTACACATTCCCCATAGCTGTTACTGGTTTTGGATACAAAAACACAGTGTCGACTCCTATATGGTTGCAATTCACTGCAACCCCCCGGCCTTTCCTGCAGCCTGCCATTGTGAACCCGCCTCACAGCAGTTTCATCTGGATGGTATTTCCTTTTCTTCCCTGTGATCAGGGCACTATCAGTGTCCACATCTCAAATGCCTTGCTCTGGTCTGTTTGCATCCTGCCACTGCACTCTGCCCATGCACAGAGCCGGTCACCTTGTCATAGACGAAATCCAGCTGTTCAGGCATGACCTGCTGTTGACCAGCCCACACGGGTCGTTCTTGATAATCCTGGAAAAGAATCAGCTGGGAGATACTCTGCCCTAGGGAATAACGGGCAGGTTGGATGTCGCCCCATGCTCAGGGAATGCAGTAGCCATTCACACAGGGTGTATCAGGGGTCCTCCTCCCCAGGTGCAAGACAGGGAGATGTCTTCTCCTGCAGATTCATAGATTCACCGATTATAAGCATCTGAAAGGGACCTTGCAGATCACTGGGTCCAGCCCCCCTGCTTTAGGCAGGAAGACAACTGGGGGCAAGTGACCCCAGCGAGGTGACTGTTCAGTCTCCTCTTGAAGACCTCCAGGGTAGGTGACCGCACCTTCAGCACTCCAGTCCCGCTGACTTATAAATGTCTAACTTTTCTAGTTGGTATTGCACCCGCTCGGCATCCACAGTGGGGAGACTGACATCCCGGATTGTCTGTCCCTCACATGACAGGCTTGTTGGGCACTGGGCTGCCAGCACGCTGGGGCTCGCCTTGCTCTGAAGTGAATTGTTTAACTGGACACAGTGCTTGGACAGACATGAAAGGGAAACCCAGGCCCCTGACAGGAGGTGCACAAACTAACCAGAGGAAACATTATTCTGTACTTGGTCCTGGCCACGGGGGACAACCTAGTGACCAACTTAAAAACAGAAGGTAGCCCGGGTGACATTAACCATGAAATCATCATGTTCACTGTCCATTGCTAGGCAGACCAATTAGATAGCTGGACTGAAGTTTTGGACTTCAGAAATGCAAATTTCAACAAACTCAGGTTGCTTGTCAGGAAAGCGCTGTGGGACCAGGGGCCAAAGGTAAAAGGAGTCGTCTTTCCTTAAGGACATGATCCTCAAAGCACAAAGGAAATCCATTCCTACATGGAGGAAAGGTAGCAAAAGGCTTGGGAAGCCCTCTCAGCTAAACAAGGATATCATGGTCCTCTTAAGAAAGAAGCAAGGGGCGTACAGACAATGTAAGCTTGGGGCATGCCACACGCCATCAGCACGTGGGCAAGATGTGGACAAGGCTGACAGAGGGAAGGCAGAGGCGGTGAAGCATCACCTCTAGGGCCTCAAAGAGAGTTTGGCCATACCAAAGATCAAGAAGGCTGAATATTTTTTTTTTTGCTTTGTTTGTGCTAGAGATGTATTTTAAGTGTTTATAGTAGGAATAGTAATGCAGTGTAGCTTTATTAATTCCCAGAATTTGTGTAAAGATTTGGAACAAGGAGTAGAAAGGTGCCACCCTGATGGACGTCAAGCCTGCTGCTTACAAAGTACATACAGCAGACCGAATAGCATTCAAACCACAGAGTCGTTGAGCCCCAAATTACTTCCATCAGATGATGTGGAAGGGCTGACCAAACAAGATTTGTGGGTGCCCCCTGATCAACATTGTCTATGTATAAGGAGAACCCAATGGGGAAAAGACCACGAGTTCGAGTTACCCACTAACCACGTTTCGGGTTATATCACAGTATCGCTGTAATTCACCCCAGGCAGTAACAGAGCTAGTGTGGGCATATTGGCAATCAGATGAAGCACTGATCGATTGCTGAGTGCAATACTACCTGAAATGCTCAATAAATAGGGCTAGTGGGCGTCTTGGCCCGGACGTTCCCCGGCCCGGTCTGGGCGGTCAGTTTAAACTCGATTGGTTAAAACTTGGTTGCTGGCTCGGGAATGCGAGGCAAAAAGCAGAGCCAGAGGGGCTACGGGCAGCATTCGAATAAAGGTTCAGGGTTTATCACAACGTCCAGCCCATCGGAGCCCCTAATCACGAGTGCTGCCATCCTTCTCTGGGGTGATGGCGAGTGGTCCTCCCCACTAAGCTATTAAACATGCCAGGAGATTCCCTTGGTTATGCTCCATTTATGATGTGAAGGTATAAGACCTTCAGGGAGGGGATTGATGTCTAGAAAATGATATGTACAGGTTTGCTTTTAGGAACTGGCCTGTAGGTAAAGTAGATATTAGAGTCATACAATCGCAGACAACGAGGGTTGGAAGGGACTCAGGCGGTCACATCTCATCCAGCTCCCTGCTCAGAGCAGGACCAGCCCCAGCTACATCATCCCAGACAAGGCTTTGCCTAACCAGGGCTTCAAAACCTCCGAGGATGGAGAGTTCACCACTTCTCTGGGTAACCTGTTGCAATGTTTTACTACCCTCTGAAAGAGAAAATTTCTTCCTAATATCCAACCTCAACTTTCCTTGCTGCAACTTGAGCCCATTGCTCCTTGTCCTGTCATCTGCCCCCACTGAGACCAGCCCAGCTCCATCCTCTTTGCAGCCCCCCTGCAGGGAGGTGAAGGCTGCTATTCAATCCCCCTCGGTCTTCTCTTCTGCAGACTAAATCAGCCCAGTTCCCTCAGCCCCTCCTCACCAGTCCTGTCCCCCAGCCCACAACCATTTCTGTTGCCCTCCGCTGGACTCTCTCCAATGTGTCCACATCCTGTCTGTAGCGGGGGCACACAGCTGGACACAGGACTCCAGATGTGGCCTCCCCAGTGCTGAACAGAGGGGAAGAATCACTGCCCTTGATCTGCGGGTAACGCTCCTACCCATGCAGCCCAGGATGGCAGCAAGGGCACACTGCTGGATCCTGGTCAGCTTCTTGTCCCTTGTCCCCCCAGGTCCTTTTTTGCAGAGCTGCTGCCCAGCCCGCCACCCCGAGCCTGCACCGGTGCAGGGGATTGCTCCATCTGAAGTGCAGCACTTTGCACTTGTCCTTGTTGAACCGCATGAGATTTCTTTTACCCCAATCCTCCAATTTGTCCAGGTCACTCTGAATCCTAGCCCTACCCTCCAGTGTATCCACTACCCCCCACAACTTGGTGTCATCTGCAGACTTGCTGAGGGTGCGTCCATCCCATCTTCCAGGTTGTTGATGAAGACATTGAACAAAACCAGCCCAAAGACCGACCCATGGGGCACTCCACTCGATACTGAATGACATCGAGCCACTGAGTACTACTTCTGAGCCCGATGCTCCAGCCAGTTTTCTATCCGCTTTACAGTCCATTCATCCAGCCCATATTTCCTTGGCTTACCTACGAGACTGTTGTGGGAGACCGTATCAAAATCAAGGTAAATCACACCCACCGGTCTCCCCATATCCACAGAGCCAGGCATCTCATCATCGAAGGCATCGGTTTGGGCAGGCATGACTTGCCCCTGGTGAGTCCAAGCTGACTCTTCCTAATCACTTTTTTTCTCCTCCAAGTGCTTTGAGATGGGTTCCTGGAGGATCTGCTCCGTGATTTTTCCAGGGACTAAGGTGAGGCTGACTGGTCTGTAGTTCCCTGATTCCTCCTTTTTCCATTTCTTAAATATGAGCACTATGCTTGCCCTTTTGCAATCATCCTGGACCCCTCTTAGTCACCATGAGTTTTCAAAGACGATGGCCCTTGGCTCTGCAATCACATCAGCCAACTCCCTCAGCATCCCATCCAGCCCCATGGACTCGTATATGTCCAGCTTTTCTAAGTAGTCCCTAACCTGATCTTTCAGCACTGAGGGCTGCTCACCTCCTCCCCAAACTGTGCTGCCCGGTGCAGTCGTCTGGGAGCTGAACTTCCCTGTGAACACTGAGGCAAAAAAAAGCATTGAGCCTTTTATATTATAACAATGGTCCAGGGCAACAGCAAGGGTTAATTGATTTCGAAAATCCTGTCTTGTCACACAGTTTCACAGCCTTCGAGGAAGGCTTCAGCCGATGGATATACACGTCCTGGGGAACTGAAAACACCCAAACTTTACTTTCATGAGAGAGAGAGACCTGGCTCCAGGGCTACAGTGCTCACTTGCAAAAACTCTTGGGATTTCTGGTTTCAAATTAAATGACCAAATTAAGGTGTGTGCATGTGATAGGTTTATGAAAATAGTATTTTGAATGACAAAACAGAACGTGGACACTATGACGACGGCAGGAAGACCCATCCACGCTGCCGAAAGATGAAGAGTCATCAGAGGAAAAGGGATCCAAAAGGAGGAGTTTTCGAACCAGCAAGTGGGCGTGTGGCATGGGCCCTGACCTCCAAGGGTGCTGACGCTGGACATTCAAGCAAAAAACCTGAAGGAGGAGTGTATGTACCGGCCAGATGGACAGCTTGCTTGGGTCTATTCTGGGCACTGGGGCATTTGGGGTATGTATGCTGTAACGATCTTGCCTGCTTTGCATGTATTGCTCTTCTTTCCTATCACTGTGTGTCAAGTAAATTAGCCTAATACCAACTGGAGGAGTTGTGGTTGGTCTGAAGGCTGTGCTGGGTTGGGTTGGCAATCCAGTGCCTCACTCCTTCCTGGTGCAGGATGCTGAGATGTCTGCTCCTGCACAGCTTCTCATCCCAGTCATTCCTGTGTTGATCCCAGCTGACGACACTGCGGCAGGAAGAGCTGGTGGGAACGGGCTTCTGCAGATGAAGTTTGATTGGAAACTGCTTTTTGAAATAGGAATTGTTCTACTTTCCTCCATTGATTCTCCATCTCACTCGATGCACTCAGTTGGGGGCCAAATATAAGCAGGGAGTAGCTCTCACTGGTGTCTGGGGCTGGGAAGGAGGTGGGCCAGAAGGGCCAGGAGAGCCAAGTGGACCAGCATGGCCCGCTGCCCTTGTCGGGGACTGGCCTCAGCTAGCGAGAGCGCAGCTGGGGACAACAGGAGGGGGACCTGCCAGGAACACCCTAACTCGGAGCGTCAAAGAGGGCCGCGGCAGCGAGCACCCAGCCAAGCAGACCCACCGGCCGTGTCCGAGGGGCAGGAAGGGGCATTTACGTGTCACAGGAGGCCGAGCAAGGGCACCAGCCATCATCGGGAGTCGAGCCGTGGGGCCATTGCGGGAGCTCCCATCGCTCCCACACCTGACTGAGCGATCATGCTTGCCTCAGCTACGGTGACTTCAAGACTGACGTCTTGAACTGAAAGGCTGTTCTTGTGGGTGTCTACGACAGACCTACTGGGACTGTATCCTTCACAAAAGAGGGGATGCCCCTGCTTTGTCTTGGGTTTTGGATGCACGTAAGGTTGCTTTACTGTGTGGGGAGGAGACCTACCGCTGCTCTGCTGGGAGTGTGATCACCTACCCATGCGTGTATAGGTGTTGTTATAATGTTGTATATGTTTAAAAGAGTTGCGTTCATTAGTACTATTTCATAAGTGCTACCTTACTGAGACCAGAAAGAAAATGAAAACACGATAACAAATAGCAGCAACAAGCTCCCACACAGTTCACACCGCACAGGGACAAGGTCAGGGCAATGAGGGCACTGTGGGGCAAAGCCACTTGAGGGAAGAGATGATGAACTCAGAGTGATGCACACGCGGAAACTCCAGCTCACGCTTGCACCAACACACACCCACAGTGCAGCTTTCTGCTGTCACACACTCCCCGGACCCAGGGCGTGCGCTGGAGCAAGTGCAGACACAGGCGGGAACTCACCCCCACACCCAGGGGAGCCCAGGGAGGGTCCCGCACTTCAGCCAGGATCGCAGTGACAGGAGCTCTTCTCTCCACTAGCAGAGGAGGAAGCAGAGGAGGAAGCCACGAGCCAGGGAGGAGATGGCCACTGCCCCGCTCCCAGCACCCACTGAACACAAGCAACACGCACCCACAGACCACACTTCTCCCCAAACCCTTCCTTGTCTGCCTCCATCACACCACCTCTACTCAGTCGATGGCCCCGAGCTACCATCTGTGCATCGCACTCAGCACCAGCCACTTCACTGTGACCGTGAGCCGTTCCTGTCACCAAAACTGTCTCTCGTGTTTCCCACCCAACCAGCTCTGTCTTCCCTCCTCTGCACGGACACACCGGCCCGCGCCGCGCTCCCTACCTCCACGTACGTCGGTGGTGCACGAGTCCACTCGATCCAGGTGGCACCTGCACGACCATCGTGGCGCATCCTCCAGACATGCACGTGACGTTAGTGTTAACGATGACAGACTGCGGCAGAGCATCCTGCTGCGCTTCCACTTCCTTCTGCTGCTGGAGCAGGTGCTCCAGCCCGTGCCTTGCCCAGGGGGTCATCGGGATGGTCCTGTTAGCCCAGCTGCATGTCCCTCCTTGCAGAGATGGGCCAGTAAACATCAGCCCTGCATGGCGAGGTGCCCCTGCTGCCAATTCCCCATCTGCTCTGCCCCATCCCATGCATGCTGACTTTGGGGTAAAGCCTTCACGGGCTATTGATAGGCCGGGGTCAGATGGCCTAGGGATAAAAAGCCCTGGATAAGTCACCCATTGACCCCTTCTAGGACCATGAAAAAATGTGGCTCCATCCAGTTCCAAAAGCTTAAGAAAACAAGGAAATTTGAATAAAACCAATTAGGGATCATTTATTAGAATATCAAAATCAGCTAACAAGAATGAGGAGTGCTATGGAGAGCCTTCCCTGGGAGGGGAGAGGGGGGGCAAACTGACCTGTGCACTCCCTTCGGAGGAGACACACATGTGGCAGCACTGGGGCAGGAAAGGATTTCCCTCTGCTCAGACTGGTCGCACTGGGGCAACGGGGGCACGGTCCTCTGCAACGGGGCAGGACTGGTCCTCTGCAGCAGGGGCACAGCCTGGGCCTGGGCTCTCTGCAGTGCCCGTGACATCCCCTGGCAGCAGCAGGACGTTGGCAGCCGTGACCCCCCTGCTTTCCTGGGGGCAGGGACGGGGGTGATGCCCCAGGGATGACTGTGTTGTGTGGCTCCGGGGTCAGGCATGGGGTTTATCTGGACTGGTTTGGATGGGGCTGATCCTGCCCCAGGCTGCCCTGCTCCCCTGGGGCATGGCAGGAGCGGGGGGGCAGCATGAGACCTTGGTGCTGCGCCAAGTTATCCATCAGCAAACTCAGCTTGGCCCCACCAAGGGAATGAGGCATCCCAGGCCAGGCTGGGCAGACCCCACAGGGCACCCAGGTCTGGCCCCAGGGTGCACCCATGACAGGTGTCCGGGCCCCCAGGACTCACCAGGGGAGATGTGGCCTAGGCCAGAAGGCCATGCCCTTGGACGTTGTACCCTTCCTGCAGTTCAGGAAGCCCAAACTGCCCTCCTCTCCCGGCAGGGAAGGGTCCCGCCCAGGCCTGGGAGTGGAGCTCATGGAAAAACTGGCACGAAAGGACTTTATGCAGAGCGCCGCATCCTGTCCTTCCCGCGCCCGGCCTGGGGCAGCCGGCTGGTAGTGGGCCAAGTGCGAGGGCCAGCCCTGCCCATTGCTGCTCCAGCCCAGCTGCTCTGCCCTCTTGCCCCCCGGCCTGGCAAAAGGTGCACCTGTATCGCCCCTTCCCCATCTCCATCCCCTCCTGCCGCCCCCCACCCTCCAGCCTGGTGGGCTCTGTGTGCGCGGGGTCCCCTCGGTGCCTCGTGGCTCCCATGTGGTTCTGGGCAGGACCGGGGAGGACAGAGGCAAAGCCAACCACAAGAAATACTCTTTTACTCTTCCCCTGCCAGCAGCAGGGGCACCAAGAGGAGCAGGGCTGGGTGCCAGAGTCCCCTGGGGCAGCGTCCAGCGCCCAGAAACAGCCCCCGGCCAGCCCGGTGCCCTGCTCTCCGCCCTGCTCAATGCTTGTCTTCTTTCACAGCCTTCAGGAATTTGTTCAGCCGTTTGACTAAATTGTCTTTGCTGCTCCGGCCTGACTTACAGGTGCCTGGTTTTGGCTTCTGATATACCGGTGGCAGCGGCATTGGCGGCAGTGGCCGCGCGGTGCTGAACTGCGAGGTGGGCATGGCCATTTGAACCGGGACGGACACCGGGGCTGGGGGCGGGGTTGCCTCCTTCTTCGGCGCCGGCTTCATGTTGGCCACGATCCATTCGAAGTAGTTTGGCGTGAGGGTGTAGATCCCGGGCTGCCGGGGCCTGGCACAGCCCATCCCCCAGCTGGTGAGCCCCACGACCCAGAAGCGGTTGGACGTTTGCTCCCGGCACTGGAGGGGGACGCCACTGTCGCCCTGCAGCAGAGGTTGGGGCGTGAGGCCTGGGGACCCCGGACAATGGGGGGAGCGCAGGTCCCAGCCCCGGGGGTGCCTCAGAGGACTGATGACCCTGTCCTGGGCAGCCGGGGAGCCGTGGCCAGGCTTCCCCCGTTCAGGAAGGCGCTGCCCATTAGGGCTGTGCAAAGTTTCAGGTGCTGATTTGGTTTGGAGTAGATTTGGCCCGATTTGGTGGCTGAATCTCCAAATCCGAATCGAATCAGGGGACCAATTAAAAGGTCCGAATTGATTCAAAGCTCTTCGAATCGATTCAGAAAAGATTTGGAGAGCTTCAGTGATTCGGGCAGTCCCTGTTGGCTGCAGCTAGACCCAGATTCCATGCTGGAAAGTAGGGGGCAGGGGTGGGGGAGTGGGAGGGGACCATGGGG